TAAATATATTCTTACGATCAATCATTATCCATATATTCTCAATAAAGCTTCCCTCTTATCTTACAAAGCATATATATACCTTTCTAATCAATTTGTTTACAAACTGAAATATATACGGCATAAAAAATCGAAATCCGGTTTGAATTCTCACATGGAGATGTCACGCGTCATCCATCCCGTTAAAAAAAAAAAACCTTTAAAATTGAGTTTCAAAGGTAGGTAGATAATAGTTTCTATCAGAAAAACCAAAATCCGCAAGGATTCCCGTAAAGACAAAAAAAAAGAAAGGTCATCAGAATGAGAAACGATGGATAAGCGTGGATAACTCTCATCAGACATTTATTAATTTTATTAATTAATATTGATGTTTTTTCAGCGATCGCATCGGGTCGCCTATTTGTCCTGCCAACCGACGGCAAGGAGACGATAACGGTAGAGCCGGCTAGGCCACCACCGACCGCCCTGATCTGCCCTCCATGCGGGATCCGTTTCAGCTCGGCAAGCACGCTGGAGGCTCATCGTACCTTTTACTGCGCTCACCGGCCTCGCGTAGATGAGGACGCGGCGAACGACGAGGACGACGACGGTGGCAAGTCCGGTGGTGGAAAGTTCGAGGTGCGGAAGGCGTACGCGTGCCCGCATTGTTCTTACAGCGCCGATAAGAAGGTATCTCTGAATCGTCATATGCGAATGCACGCGGCATCACCGGCACCGCCGACGATACCATCGTCATCGTCGTCCTCAGCGCCGGTAGTGGTGGCGAACCCGAACTCTTCGGCGGGTAATCCAGCGACGACCGGACAGACTGCAGCGTCCAACGGTTCCTTGAACGAGGAAGCCGAGAAGTACTGCAGGAATTGTGACATTCGGTTCACCTCCATGAAGACTTACAGGTGGGTGAACGGAAGAATACAGAATGGTTTCTGATTGTTCGACAAGTTCAACAAGGAATAAGTTTGCGATTATTAAAAGGGAAATATATTAAACATGTAAATTGTTATAAATCATATAGCAGAAACGACGAGGTGTTAGCTTTAAAATTTTAGAAATATATATTCTTAAATCGTCATTTTAGTCGTCGATTATAATTTTTGAAAATTGGTTGGATTGGTTGAAATTATAACAATTTCTACGCGAATTAAAATTTTATTTCAACAAAAGTAAAATAATATGTAAATTTAAATGAAAAGAATTTATAAATATTATAAATTTGCAAAATTGTGAATTAAATTGCAAGGATTATTTTTAAAATAAAGCGACGTGCTCTAATCTCTGAAACTTAATTTTTTCTTAAATTCTGATTAAAAATTTTCGGATTATAAATCTTTGAAATTTTTTTTTTTTAAATAAATATCAATCTGAAAAATCAATATAACTTAATCACAAAACGAATTATAAAATTTTAAATCTTTTATAAAATTGTAATAACTTATTATTTATAGATTAAGATTCTGTTTTTTTTTTCAATTTAACTTGTGACAGGGCACATAAAACGCACTACTGTAGCACGAGGCACGTGGTAAAGGATGCGTTGCCGACGCCAACCGTGACACCGACATCCTCGGTGAAGGTATCGCCGCCGACCAGTTCCAGTCCTGGTGATTCGCCACCCCCGCAGCCGTGCCTGGCGTTGCCCACCAACCCTATCCTCATCGTGCCGTATTCCTTGTTTCGCGGCGCGAGCGTTCTCGCCGCACCAGCACTTCCGGCTCCTGACACAGCGTGCTTCCTTTTGCCAAACGGTATTACTATTTTTGTAACTCTTTCTTTTCCATAGAAGAAATTTCAAAATCTTTTTCAATTTCCCATAAAAATAAGTACGATTAACAATTTCGAAAATCTCAATGTCTTCTAAATGATTGTATAATAATTCACAAAAACGAAGGGAAAAGCTGGTATCAAGATCAATTGAGATATTGAGATATAAATAACATTTTTTTGAAACTCAATTATTTTTCTTAGGTTCCCTTCAGCCAATGACGAGGGGCCTCGCTTCCACGGCACAGAATTCCGTAGTAGAGCCGCCGGCCGTACTAAGGGCGGCGAATAAGCCCTCGACACCGGCGTCGGTGGTCGTGGCGGCGTCCACGTCGCCGTCCGCCTCGGCGCCTCTTGATCTCAGCGTGCGTAGATCACCGGTGCACCAAGATGAAAAGGAGAACAGAATGTCACCGGCACCATCGTCCCTGCCACCGCCCCCGGGCAGTCCCAGATCCAGAGGCAGCGGCAGTCCCAGAACGAGATCTATCGGTCCGACCCAGACTGCCGCCGTCGCGCCACCCCCACCGACGGAACTCGCCCTGAGACTCGCTGAACTGCCACCACCGCCAGTTCCCGGAGTGCTCGTCAAACAGGGCGTCTCGAGGTAAGCGAAAGCGTTGGTTAAAGAAATTAAAACGAGTCCTCCAGAATCATGAATCTTCAACTTTTCAATTTTTATTCTTATAAACGAGTATTAGATTTTTAAATTCGTAATTCTTAATGCTGTGGGTCCTCAAACTTTTCATTTTGCGATTTGAGTTATGAACTTTAGAGAATTAAGAAGAAGTATATTGAATAGTCAGATCGACCTCTTTTTATATTACTCAATACCTACAACTCTTATTTAGAATCATAAAATTCTATTAAAGACAATTGAAAACTACTCTTTTGAATCTCAAAATGGGAAATTGTTTATCGTATATTTGAAATGCTAAAAAGGAATTTAATTCACATAAAATTTCTATTGCAATCTTTTAAATTAGGAAGTAAAAAAGTAAGAAGCAAAATTTCAATTCGGGTTGCTTCTATTTCATGAAAATAGATTCTTGAAATTATAATTATTTTTGTCTTTACAGATGCAAAGAATGCAACATTGTATTCTGCCGTCACGAGAACTTCGTTGCTCACAAGAAGCACTACTGCCAGGCGAGGGAGACAACGGTGAGCAACAGTCCGCCACCGCCTGGCACACCCTCGCCACCCCTGGTTCAGCTCATTTGTGCCGCGTGTGGAATCAAGTTTGCTTCTATAGACAACTTGGTTGCCCATCAGGCATTTTACTGTCCCAAAAGGCCCGAACCTCAAGAGCATCACACACGATGTTCTAAATGCAAGGTAAAGCCTAGAAGCGCAAAGGATGAAGAATTGAACAAGATGCTTAATAAATACTTGACAAATTTAAAGGATATCCAAAAGGCATAAAAACAATTGTCTTTGAAAACATTCGGCAACAAAATTCCAAAATCTAAGATGCTTCTTAAAGACTTTGGCTGTTTAAAGTACTCCTCCAGGTTTTGTTCACTCCAAGTGACTCAGTAATTTTGATCGTCGGTTCTTCGAAGTCGGTTCTTCGATTTAACACTACGGCTTGTCGTAGGCGATAATAGAACCTGGCAGCAATCATACCTGCACCAGCGGTGCAACTGGCGGTTGGCGATGCCCGGTTTGTGGCGCCGTCAGTCCCACGGCTGGTGCTGCCCAACGTCACATGGACGCCCATCAGGGTGTCAAAGCTTTCCGGTGTACGATCTGTCGTTACAAGGGTAACACTCTACGCGGTATGAGAACTCACATTAGGATGCACTTCGAAAAACGTGGCACCGATCTGCAGGTAATGTTTCTTCCCCTCTTTTCTTATCTTCGAATCTTCGTATCGTATTTCCTTACACCAAACCATCATAATATAGTTGCATCTATAATATTGCATTTTTATAAAAATAGTTCAAAGTTTCTCGGAAACAAATGCGCCCAAATGTTTTCGATAATAAATCAGATTAGTATTTTTATTGTATGTGTTTCTTACGAAACATTTGCCTCAGGAGGAGAATTATATAACGTGCGTGCTGGAAGACGAGGCGACGCTACCAGCACCGGAACCCGCGGCTGCCACGACGCCGGAGGAGATCCCTGCTGAGATTCAAGTGAACGGCAAAACGGAAATAAGGAAGAGCCCGCAGCCGCCGCCGCCGCCGCCGCCGCCGCCACCGCCGCCACCGCCGCCACTACCGCCGTTGGCAATCGCCGGCATGGTGAAGCAAGAACGTGAGGACACACCGCCGCCGGACGAGAGTCTGGACCCCGGTAAAAGCGGACCGCGTTACTGCCGCTCCTGTGACATTAGCTTCAACTACCTGAGCACCTTCATCGCCCATAAAAAGTTTTATTGTTCGAGTCACGCTGGCGAAGCAAGTAACAATAATAACAACAATAACAACAACAACAATAACAATGCCAGCGGCCATCCGACAACGCCGCCGACTGGCAGAACCGAGGCATCGGTACTTTAAATCATCAAAGGTTTTTTTTTGGTGGACGCAACATAACTTCTCCGCCGCTCGTCCTCCTTCTCGGACGACCTCTTCGAATTACGCTTCGAATCTAATTTCTAAGATTTTTTTCTACTTAGGTTTCACAAAGCAGTGTGATTTGATAAAGAAGCAGAAACAACACGCTTGAAATAATTATGAAACTCTTTGGGGTAGTATAAATCATTTTCTTTTTTTTTTCAAAAAAAGCACAATTTTGTTTATATTCTGATTAAGTCTAATTTGACATTTCTGGAAATATTTGTCTTTCCGATAAGATTAAATTTAAAATCTGCTTCTGCCATCGCATTTCTTCTTAGAAACGTTTCAGCGAAGGAAGAACGAAAATGTGTTGATACGATAATAAATAAAAATGGGGACTGTTTATTGTTGCCAGTTTATACATAGTATAATAAACGAGTATCGGACTTCTTAGTTGAATATTACGTTGTGTGATTTTTGTTGATCCAGGGAATTGTTTGTACTTATAAGCCGAAGGTATCTACATGTAAATATATATACACATACACATTTATGTATATTTATTATAATTGTATTATATTATTTCGAATTGCACTATAAAATATCTTTATATATTTCATAGTGTTATGCGGAATGTAATATATAATTGTAATTTATATACATATATAAAACTCTGTATAATTAGAAATCTTGTGCGCATGAATGGACGAGCTTGCAGAAAAATATTGCAAATAGAGCCATTAATAATAACAATAATATAGACATATTGATAAATATAATCTACATATAATGTGATAAAATTTAACAGAATTAATTTAGAAGACTTAATCTTATTTTTTTTTAATAAGTTAATATTGTTTACCTTTTATTATTTATCTAATTTAATATAACATTTGCTTTCTATTTACTTCATCATTAATTTTTCAATTATTTTATTTAACCATTTCTTAATTGAAAAATCGAAAATTCTCGATCGTTTTACGAATAAAAAAGATTTCTAAATGAAAAAAATTAAGTTACATTTAAAAATAAAATATATATGTTTAGTGAAATATATATGGCTCTGTTTGCAAGCGATTTTTGCGATTTTATTTCTTGGCAATTGTCGCGTCGTTTCGATGTTTCTGAGGAAGAATTTTGGAAGTGCTGGGAGGAAACGTCATATATCGTTCTGTACATATAAAAATTGATGAAAAGTGGAGAAAAAAATGGCTAGGGATCGACGCCAACATGATCGATCGATCCAGGCGTAGGCGTGCAATCTCATGACTCGAATAATCTCGTAGCATTAATAATCGACATTATCTATAAACGAACGAATACGATGAATGTAAAATGTTGTACAGTAGGTGAGTAGGTATTACGGTACAGTAGTACACGATTCTGATGAATGATACCAATCTCAGCTTGTGAATCTATTAAGTTACGTTGCGCAATGTATGACATTTTAATATATATATATATATATATATATATATATATATATATATATATATATATATATATATATATAATAAATAAACTAAGTTACGCTACGTACTGTCGAAAATTAACGACCCGTTGTTTTAGGTCAAAATTAATAAAGTAGATTAGCGTACGATAAATTATTATTGTGTAGACGAATATAAATGCATTTAGAGGTAGTGTATAGTTGTAAGACGTGAGAGTATGTACATTTATTTCTACTTTTTTACTTATGATGAATCTAAAAATTTCTTGCCTATTATTTTGTTACGTGCGTTTTTTGAAGAAAGAAAAGAAAATTCAAATAATTAAATTAATTAAATATTCTTAATATTTAATATTAAACATTTTGATGACATTAAATTTAATAGATTAAATCAAGATTCAAACAAAATTTTGTTAACTACTACTAAGCAACTAAAGCTTAATTAATTAGAAAATAAATTTATTTTTAACAATAGATAATTTTGCAAATAAAATTTAATATTCCTATTTAAATAATTATCAAAACAGGAGATGGATTGATTTCTTGGATTCATCAAATAAAATATTCTTAAAATTCTATTCTATTCGATAATTAGAGAATTCTTATCAGAATGCCTTGCATATACATTGCGTACAATGAGTGCAATTTTGTGATAGAAAGAACGACGATCTCGAAATACTTTCGCGTATCAACGTATTACTTGAATTTTATCGGCGCACTCGGTCCCATGCACCTTAATCAAAAGCATCATACGTGCTCGTGAACCAGAACGGGCAACCCTCATCGCAGGGCACGTGAATGTAAAATAATGTAGAATTAAGGCCAGTGTTACGTGTATACGCAATGTACTACTCATATCATACGACGAGCTCGTTAATTAAAAAAAAAAAAAAAGGAGCGAGAAAAGCGTTAATCGTTGTCTGCACGGCGAATTCTATAATGGAGAGACTTCAAGACGTGAAAAGAATCTTTTGCAAGAGACAAATAATCTCGTCACATTGACCGGATTTTACTCTCTCATCTCCTCCTCTTCCTCCCGTCCCCTATCATTGCAGATGACTTCTTGGTAACTTGTCTCTTCGAACCGCGAGGTACTTTTTGTTGAATGTTATTTTGTTAATTGCGGATCGAAAGCGCGCGTGTGTATGTATGTGTGTATGTATGTGCGACCGAAAGATTTGTAAATCCATACAACTGATACTTCCAACAACTTGTTATAATACGCTATAAATCTGGTGTATATCATTACATGCCATATCCACGATAAGTAAGTTCTTTCTTCAACACAGGCATATTCCACTTCCTCCCGGAAATCGATCTCCCAATCTGCCAAAAGCAAACGCGTGCGAATTAATTGAAACTATTTTCGTATTTTAATTTTCACAAATAATTTGTACTGTGTACAAATAATTTTCAATCTTTTATTTCGTAAAGAAGGCCAGTTTACAATATATGGAGTAAGCCTGGCGTAAGAGAACCTGACATAAGAAATAAAAGTAACTTATTTCGCTTACATCTTTACTCTAATTCCCTTACATCGGAAATACATTTCTTACATCTACTCTTACTTCTTAGCCAAGCTTAGTCCGCATTGTAAACAGCATTAAAAAATTCAATTGCATTAAACTCAATTTTAAATGATGAACATTCTTTATTGATTTTATGTGATCGATCGTCTCATTTTTAGATTTCTTTTATCTTCTTCTTATTTTGATAGACGCAAATTTTACACGCGTGATATATACCTAGAAAAAAAATTTGTAATACAATATACGAATAAAACTTTATGCCATTTACATTTCACTTTTTTAAGAGAAACATCGAATCAACATAAAAGAATATCTATTGCGAAATATATATATTTAATGGTGATATACACAATTATCTATATATAGAAATACGTGAAAGAATACGAAAGTATCTATAGCTATCGTTAAATGATCAGTCTCTTTCCTATACTAAATTTCTAGAATATTAGGAATTGGTAAGTCACACAACGGCATGTTTTCACATATTTATAGATCTTCTGATTATCCATAATGTAATGCTTCACTCTCTCAATCTGTCATTTCTTCTTTGTCATTTGTCAATCTTTCTTCATTATCTGATGAATATGTTTCGTCTAAATCACTATTGAAACTACTTTCCGATTCCTCTCTTCTTCCTCTTCTATACTCGGAATAATTGTATCCAAACAGATTTGTATTTTCATCTCTTTTAGACCCGTACAAGTCTTCGTCGGTTTGATATACATCGAAATAATCATCTGAATCGGAATTAGAATCTCTAGAACGATCGGGATCTGTGTCAGGATAATCATTTCTCCAATTTGATTCTGAATTGGAATCTGAGGATTCGCTTTCATGTTCAGAATTTGTTTCTGAATGTTCAGGTCGCCATACCATTATATTATCGCTTTCAAACCATATGTCTTCACAGGTTTGAGCATAATATAAATCATATACAAAATCCTCAATATCCTGAAACATATATCTGTTTAATATATATATATATATATATATATATATATATATATATATATATAT